GCTGAGGCCGAGGCCATCGCAATTACTGAAGCCAGTAAAGAACTTGTGGCCCTTGGCATGCTCATTGAAACTGCGAGAACTGGAATCCCGCTGGATGGACTTGGGATGCCGGCGCAAACGACTGGGACGATGAGATTGCATCTCTATAACGACGGGAAGGCTGCGATCTCCATCTCGACGATGGAGGGGCTTTTGAGGAGAGTGAAACACATGGAGCTTCGGGCTCATTATGTGAAATATCTCCACCGTCGGCGTCGCTTGACCTTGGAGCACTGGGAAGGTGTCAGCAACCCAGCTGACGGACTTACCAAAAGCTGCAAGCTTGTGGAAATGTGGCTGAACCTCAATAATGCTGTGGGACTTGTACCAGGACTTGAAGATGATCGAGCAGCATTTTTGAGGGGATTGTCGCAAAGCACCGATGACGATGCCACCGAACTTCTGTCCGGACTGTCAGTTCGAGAAGGGGAGGTTGCTCATCGAGTGCATTTCCTGCGTTTCTTGCACCTTTTTGCGTCCGTTGGTGACCAGTTGTTGTCGGAAGACCGTGACATTGCTCCTGGTGAACGTGGCATTGCGCCTAAGGAGATTTGAACTTTGTCGAAAATGCTTTTTCCGGAACAGTTTTCCAGCAGAAAGTTGACATTGGAGAGTTTCTGAATCCGTTTTGTGTGTTTCGTTGTTGTCCGTCTGTGTTCGGATCCGTCCGGATGAGTTCGGAAGAGTTCCGGTTGCCTTGTGTGTGCAGCGTGTGGATTTGGAACCTCTTACTGAGTTGGCAGAACTTTAGTGGAAGGACGTGTCCGAGAGCAGTCGTTGAGGTCCGACTAGGTTCGGAGGTGTAGGATGACTGTTTCTTGTTGATTTAGGAGCCTTCTGTTCTGTGCTTGTGTTTTAAGTTTTGCTGAGTTTGTTTTGCAAGTGACGCTTGAGATATGGATGGAGTGCATCCGGTGTGAAATCGCTCGAAACTGTTTGCCAGGAGACGTTGTGTTTTTGGTGCTTTCGAACCTTGTGTTTTGTGAAGTGCTTACAGTAGAGCCGGGAATTCTGTTTGCGTCCCGTTCAACCGGATAGGAACTGCACTTTACTTACTTGCTTTTTCCTTGTTGAGACTGTTCTCGCTGATGTGAGACAGTGGAACTGACTTTGAGACGCCCGCCGCCATTTTGGATTAAGGAAGAGACTGAGGGATTGGACCTGCATCCTCACCGAAGGCCGAGGGTTTGATGTGTGAAGAGTTTCGTTGTGTTTTGGAACCACTTGAAACCTTGGAAAGGCACTACAGTCAGGAGTCGTGGACCATAAGTAGTTTTGACCAGGGTTTCCAGTGACAGACATGTCCGTTTGTGTGTGCTTTCGATGTCAGGGTTGCAGGGATGAATGATCGTTTGAAGCCTCAGTTGAAGTTGCACTTGTGGTCGCAGTTGTGCGAAAAGGGTTTTGTGAACAATGTCCTTTTTCAGGGTTGTAAATGTCTCGAGGGTCTAGAACAATTCTTTTCTTTGTGATGTGTGTTGAAGTGTTTTTGTTTCATGTGATGGGATTGCATGGCTCAGTGCTCGAGCTCGACTTGCGTTAGCCTGTTTTGCCTGGACCTCATCTTTCGGTGTTGCCGTCGTCATGTCTTCTCCGGCAGTTCCCGAAGTACGTGCTGTGGAGGCTGCTGAGGAGCCCGCTGTGGCAGGGTCTGCGCTGGAAGCTCCTGTGGCGAAAGCCGCCGGACCGCCAGGCCCACCAGCAGCGCTGGTGATTTCTGACGAGCAGAATGTCTCCGGACGTACGGTGACTGGAGTGTTGCTTGAGGGGAAGGATCTCCTCGAGATCCCGATTGAAGAGCTCCTTGCTCTTTCTGTGTCGTCCCTTGAGCCCGCTGATTCGCTCATCAACGACATTTGCTATGAGATTCCGAAGACCGAGGCCGAGCGCTGGCACAGGTCTGCGGACCTGGCCCAAGAGCATGTGCACAGCATCCAGTCTGTCATGAACCAGCTGGTGCAGCTGCATGCTGCTGACCCCGCACAGCCTCTTGAGGAGACAAGGGTTCCGACGGATTCGGAAGAATATGGTGGCCAGTCCCATGCCGAGTTAGCGGTCAAGCGCCAGGGGATGGTGGTTCGACTCCAGCAACTTCGATCTGGCGCCTCGTTTTGGGGATATGTGTATTTTTCAGCTTTGAGTGCACTGCCCGATACTGTTCGGCAAACCACGTTGAGCACCACGGAAGGGCTTCAGGATTTGCTCCGTTAGAGCGTGGGACGATTTTCCAAGCTGAGTGTGTTGTTTGGACAGCTTGGAGATTATGTTGGGCGACTATCCGAGTAGCCCAGATGAAGCAGCATTTTTTCTGCCACAGTCACCCAGTTGCACGATCTCGCCAACGGGGTGGTGGGGTTATCCAGCTCAGTCCGTCATTGCCAGGACGAGATGTTGAAATCGTCCAGGGCCACATCCAAGTCCATGTCGGACACCTTATGGCAAGGGTAAAACGGTCAACACCCCTTTGAAGGAGGTGATCCTGGGGGTGTCGAAGGTGGTAAGCCAATTGGATGGCACAGCTACCAAGCAAGCCAAATCCCTCGAGAAGATCACGTCGCTGCTTGAGAAGCTGAATGGGTCAATGGAAGCTTTGATCGACGTTGAGCGTCACAAGTCCTCTCTGGTCTCCCAGATGAGGAGTGGTTCGGTGCCTGTGCCTGGAGGAGGAGCGACCAACATTCCACCTCCTGGACCCGCCAGTGGACCTGCCGCTTCGAGTCCTTCGACCGCGGGACCAGGGATGGCAGCGGGAGCCCCGCCAGCGACCTTGGGTACGGCTGGGCTTTTTACCCAGCAAACCCCGCAAACTCCAAATGTACAGCCTAAGCTGATGCCCTCGTCATTGACGCCACCAGCTCCTTCGGGTTTTCCGCCACCGCCGGCGTTCACACCGCCGCCTGTGTTTGGAACGGGACCGGCAAGTGCTCCGGTGGTGAGTCCATCATGGAAGCGCGTGAGGCTTCAGGACGGCTCATGGAATTGGGCAGAAGCCGATCAGGGCGACATTTGAGTGGCCATGACTTTGGCTGATGTTGGATCTTGATGATCCTGATGCCTCGAGTTCTGGGGAAGTAAGTTCCTAGGAATCTCGATCCAGGCCATATTTTTGTTTGACAGCGGCCAGCCCACGTCAGTGGAAAAAGGGTTTGCTCAAAGGGTTTGACATTTGATTTGCAGTTGTTCAATTTGATCTTGTGAGATTCAGTTTGAACCATGTTTGAACTTCAGTTGACCTTCACTCGAACTTCTTGATGTCTTGTTCAAGTTTTCTTGTTGAGTCAAGGGCATGCACGTGTGTGATCTTGAAGAGTTGAAGTTTTGTGCATTGCTATGTCTGAACTTGCCAGGACAAAAAGGGATGAGGTCAGGGGTTCAGCGAGAGACGAGATCAAGGGTTGAGAACTGCAGGGATCAGTGCTGTCATTTGCATTTGCACCAAGGGATCATGGCAAACAGTAGAAAAGGGTTTGTAGCTAGCAGGGGTTCTAGTTTCCTTTGATTGCTGTGAACTTTGGACCGTGTGACCTTGGATGTCGAGTCGATTGGTTGCAGTTGAAAGCAAGTGAAAGGGTTTGGAAGTCAGGATGTGCTTCAGAAGATGTCAGTCAAACAGTAACCCAGGGTTTGTAGGCCAAGGGGTTGAGGCTAGATTTCATTTTGCTTGCTGTTTGACGCTGTGTTCACTTTTGGACTTGTCAGGTTTTGTCACGATGATGGTTTGTCGTTTCGACCTGTCAGGTGTCTGCTTGAAACCATCTTGGTTTCAAGGTCCCAAGGATGACACAAGCATGAGCCAGGGGCTAGCTCTGTGCAGCTCCTTGAGGCTATGCTGTCTGAGGGATCTTGACCTTTTGATGTTTGTCTTGCTTGGTTGAACTTTGGTTGGTTGGTTGATCTTGATTTGAACTTGCTTGAAGCTCGTTGTTCTCGATTCGTTGACGTTTGATCGACCTGGAGACCATTTTGGAACCACAGGAGTTGAGATCTTAGTTGATGCTCGAACCTTAGTTGCTAAGAGAAAACGAATTGAAGAGAAGAAGAAGACAGGAAGACCAGGAGAAGGTACGAGGTGACCCAAGAAGGGGTGTGAAAAGTGTGGGTAGCACGCCTGTACAGTGTGTGGATCACCTAGTACCTCTTTGTAGTGGAACTTTTTCGTTTTCTGTCCTTGG